TTTGTAGGTTGTAGGTAACAAACACACAAGACAAGAGAATCCCACCATCAAATTACCTTAAATGCACAATCAACTTGCATATACAGAGCATCTGCACCTGTGGATTCAACCAACCTTAGGCCTACAATTATGAAAATACTGCATTAGTAATGATTATTTTCAGACTTTTTTTTTTCTCTTCCTGCCGCTCTTCCTGAAGCCTAACAGTACAGGGCAGATGAAAAATAAAATATGAGAGGATATAGGATGGAGATTGGCAGATAATCTCGGGACACTGGACCAAGAAGGACCTGAGTACAGATGGAGTCTGAGATGAAGTTTGTTAAGCAATAGAAATCTGAGAACTGTGGCGTATATAAACATGTCACACACACACACACACACACACACACACACACACACACACACACATACACACACACACACACAAATCATACAGAAATCTCTTTCTGTGCCAGTGGGACTCTGAGCCAGCAAGTGAGACCATGAAAGTATTTCACAGAGATTGCTCTAGCAGCAGTGGGGAAAATGCAACACAGCAATCAGACCCCTCCAGGAGCGATGTGAGAGATAATGAGGGCGAGAACAATGATGGTGGCCCAGAAATTGGCAGGACACATCGACAGTGGGAATAAAGGGGGCGCTTAAGTGTGGGTTACCAAAGAGCAGGAGCTGTTTGGGGCTGCCCCTCCTCTAGTGAGGTAAATAGCTCAAAGGGCAGCTGCCAGTCATGGCTGCGGTTAAGAGCTCAAGATTGCTCCGGGAGGAAGATTGCTCTAATCGGCTTGAGCTTTTCTTCCGTTCTTTTCCTTGAATGCTGTGAATGAAGTGCAGGCGATTCACAGGGGTATCGCCCTGGAAAACCAGCTGGCTGCCAAGACAGGCACAGGGTGACATTCACTGCCGTGACTCGAACCGAGAAGGATCTGGCGTCCGTCCTGTTGGCAGGATGAGGGTTTTTTGGTTTTTTTTTTTTTTTTTTTTTTTTTTTTTTTTTTTTAATTTCCCCCTTTCCTTTCCCTGGGGCATGGCACACACCCAAGCCCCCTCTGGGATCAGGCATGCAGTAAGCAGGGAGCAGAGAAAGGGGTCTTTTGTCAAGCCAGACCTTCGTGCACCAGCAGGGACGAGAAACTCTTGGAAATTCTTCTGTTCCAGGCAAGGAAAGAAATAAAGACAAGCAGATGGAATAGAGTGATTGACAACCTAGACCGGAAACTGAGGAGAGGAAAAGCTGAGATCAGAGATCTAGGAACAGAGCAATTTAAAACACTAAGAGGTGGAAAGGAACAAAAAGCCTTCCACACAGGGGAGGGGTTCCCAGGACCCTGGGAAAGAGGTGACAGTGTGGGTGGCCTTGGGAGTTGAGAACAAAGGGCGGGCGGGGGTGGAGCCCTGGGAAGGAGAGCTGCTGTTGAGATCAGAGCAGATGGTTTGAGCAGGAAGTTACTGTTCTGAACGCTCTTCTGGACGTGTCGTTGCATGAGATTGATCAGCTTGGCTTTGTCTGCACCCAGAGAGAAGCTCTGCCTTTCAGGAGAGGTGGCAGTAACCAAAGCCACGGAGACTAGAGGATGAGCACAAGGCCAAGGTACCGGTTTCATAATGAAAAAGACAGCCGTCCACCGCAGTGTTCATGTCCTGAGTTACCGCCTTGCAGGTCAGCTGGGAGGGAAGTCTAATGATGGCCCAAGGGTGCAGATGAGCCCACAGCTGGAACAGAGGTAGCCTGCTACATGAGTCGCAACAGAGAGGCAGCCTACACACAGACACTTCCCCTATGGACAGTGTTTAAATGGCTCCAGCAGCTTTGACAGCTTAAAACTTCCCCCTTTTATTTGTCTAGGCCACTGAAACTACCTGCATCCAAAGTCACTGGGGATCTGAAGTGTCCAGATAGCTAGGTGTTACCCATGCTTTCCAGAATCAATGTCTCAAGAGATGTCCAGGAATCGGCAATTTTAAACTCTGCACAGAATTTATGGAGCCTAAATACATTTGCGTGCCAGCCACTCCATTTCTTTTCAGTCTTTGAGTGCCGCACATTTATTTGATTTGGCTTGTTCAACTGCATTTATGATCTGAGGTCTAAAAAGCCAATCATTTGTCTGTTTCCCCCTTTGGGCACTTGTGCCTAGTAAATGGTCAATATAAATGGTCAATAAGTGTTGGGTGTTGGTTTTATTAAATACTCTCTGGTCAGTCTGACTGGTAATAGGAACTCCAAGCTCTCTGTTAGAACTCTGACCTAGAGCTCCCATAGGCCTGAAGCTGGAGAATGGGAAGGAGGCCCTGCTTGTGCTTATGGAGGCTCCTGCCTGGGAATGGAGGTGGGGTCAGGTGCTGCTGAGCAGGTCTAGGGGAAACACGAGACAAGAGCTTGGGTAGCTCTTGAACATGGTCCGTCAGTTACTTTTCTATGACTAGAATAAACACCAGGACTGAACCAACTTCAGGAAAAAATAGTTGATTTTGGCTTATGGTACCACAGGGAGAAGAGTCCATCATGGCAGGGGGAGGCATGGGAGCAAGAAGCTGGCCCAGCAGCAAGATCGGGAAGCCACGAGGTCACATCACCATCATCCACATTCCAGATGCAGAAAGAGTGGACTGCGAGGGAGGAGAGACTTGAAACTCTCAAATCCCACTCTTAGCAATGTGTTTTCTCCACTGAGGCTGTATCACTACCTGGGACAGCGCCACCAACTGGGGACCAACTCTTCAAAGACCAGAGCCTATAGGGGACATTTCTCTTTCAAGCCACCACATGACAACCCTGTCTGACAGATAGGGTGATCTCCTGAGTCCCTCTCTTTTCCTTATGTCTCCAAGAGGGTGGAATTTGCTGAGTTTCCCTCTAGAATCACATTGAAGCTCTGTTTCCGGAAGCTACACTAAACAGACTTACATCTGACTTCTCCAGGAAGTTTTGAACCTTTTGAGGGTCACACATCCTGCATATCAGATATTAACACTACAATTCAGAGCAGTAGCAAAATTACAGTTATGAAGTAACAGCAAAGTAGTTCTGTGGTTGGGGTCACCACAGCATGAGGAACTCTATTAAAGGGTCTCGGCACTGGGAAGGTGGAGAACCACTGCTTTAGAAAAAGACGTGGCTGATGTGAGTCTGAGAAAATCAGGATGGCAGTACAGAGGAGGGTCTCTTTCAGGTGGCACAGGAGCAGGTATTTGTACAGGGCATGTGGCAATCCGTGGCCCAAGAGATGAAACAGAAGAGCGTGACGAGCAGCCGAGTCAGGGGACAAGTGGCCTGAGATGCAGCTGGAATGTGGACAGGGGCACATTCTGATGTCTCCTTCACTGTGTCACACTAAAAGCTGAGAGCTCTGTCCTGCTGACGACAGTTGCCAAAGTGGTTTCTGTCTGTCTCCCATCAGGGGTCTGCAAGGTAAGCTGCTGAGTGTTCTAGAAGAGTATTAGTCACGTTCCTTAGCAAAAACAACTGTGGATGTGTTTGTAGTGTCTCTTTAATCTAAAAACAGAAGGAAATAAATGATACAATGTGTTGTAGTTGGGGATCTGAACTATCCTCCTCAGGCTGATGTGTTTGGAAGGTTGGTCTCCTTTGCTAGGTCAGTGGGGGCAGAAACAGCTCCCTGACGCTTCCATCGCTGGTCTAAGAAGTTTGCCTAAGCTTTCATGGACCTCAACATAGGCTGACTAGGATTTGTGGCTTCGATGATGAACATAATTTCAGGGCTCACGGATATAGAGAAGCAAAGTGGGGAATTTTATTAAAGATATTATAATACAGGCATAAGCATGAGGGTTAAGAGAAAGAGAGGCACCCAGAAGAAATGAGACACACCCGAGTGGTGGGATGTGTTTCCCAAGGGAGAAAAGACATATCCAAAGGTTGTGGGCTCCTCAAGGGGAGTGAGCAATGAGTTGTCTTAGCCTTAACCATATACACCATTTCGGTGGCTCTCAGGCTGCATTTCCAAAGATTGCTAAGAAATCTCCCCACCCCTTTTTTGTTTTCTCTCTCTTTTGAGAAGTGAGATGGCTCTGAAGATGCCTTGGACGGAACTACAGTCTGATCAGGTAAAGCCGGGAGCCAGCAGGCTTGCACAGGGGGGTTAGGACTTGTCTTTTCCCTGTGAATGGGCTCTCTGGTGAGATTCCTAGGACACTGCTGGTTTGTGGCTAAGGAGAGAGAGAAGGAGAGGCCTCAAGCTGTGTTAAAGCTGCTGTCACCCCCGTGCCTTCTCGGCCACAATGGACTGTGTCTTAGTTAAGGTTACTATTGCTATGAAAAAACATCCTGACCAAAGCAGCTTGGGGAGGAAAGGGTGTATTGGGCTTACACTGCCACATTGTACTGAAGGAAGTCAGGAGAGGAACTCAAACAGGACAGGAATCTGGAGGCAAGAGATGATGCAGAGGCCATTGAGGGGTGTTGTGTAAACGGATGTTTCTTGCTCCAACCACCTGTTTCCAAATACCCAGCAGCTGCTTTCCAAATTACCACACAGAGGCTTACATTATATATCCTCAGCTGGTAGCTTAGGCTTATTGCTAACTAGCTCTTACATTTAAATTAAACCACAATTCTTATCTATGTTTAGCCAGGTAGCTTGGTACTTTTTCTTAGTATGGCATTCTCATCTTGCATCCTCTACATTTGCTGGTGACTCCTGACTCCGCCTTTCTTCTTTCCATCATCCTTAGTTTGGTCACCCTGCCTATACCTCCTGCCCAGCTGCCGGCCAATCAGCATTTTATTAAACTGATTCAAGTGATAAATCTTTACAGTGTACAAGAGGATTACTCCACAGCAGTGCTGCTTACTGGCTTGCTCCCCATGGCTTGTTCAGCTTGCTTTCTTATAGAACCAAGGACCACCAGCCCAAGGATGGCACTGTTGGGTACCTGTTCTAGCTATGACCTTGAAACACCACCCTTAGTGAGGTAGCAGGTAACTGTTACATCTGCCTGTGACCTTAAAGTACATGCCCTTGGGGTGTGGCCACTCAGGACCCTTAAGACCTGGGATGCACGAACATGGTGCTCTCTTCACTCCCTTGAGATTTTGGGTGCAGGCAACAGACCAGGCAAAAGAGCAGCGTGGGACTGTGCCTCAGCCTTCCAGGACCCTGCAATAAAAAAGTCTTCTGTTCTGTATAGTGAGTTCTTTTTCTCTAATTAATTCCTTTGCCCTTTAAGCAGACTTTGTAGATTGCTAGCAATATCAGGATCCATTATGGCACCACCCACACTGGGATGGGCCCTCCTCCATCAATCACTAATTGAGAAAATGCCCTACAGCTGAATCTTCTGGAGGCATTTTTTCAATGGAGGTTCCCTCCTTTCAGATGACCAGCCTGTGTCAAGTTGACATAAGACCAGCCAGCGCAGACTGCATCTCCTGAGATGGTGAGACCAAACAGACCTCCCCTCCCTTCCATTGCGTCTGTTGAGTATTTTGTCTTGGCGATGACAGAAGCAACTAATGTAGATTTTTAAACTACAATGAACAGGTTGGCCTTGGCTTTCCCACTTCACCTATATAACTAATGTGTCACATACGGAATGTGAAGTGTCCTGAGAGTTAGATTGAGATGGGAACTCTGTAGTTCACAGAGGCTAGGGCTAGTGTCTTTAACCTTTGTTTGCTTTTACCATGTAACACATTCCTGGATAAAGTTATATCGGATAAATGGACTTAAAAATTATTTTGTGTCCTAATTAACTTTGCAAGGTGGGCATATATGGCTTAAGGTAGTCTTCCAAAAAAAAAAAAAAATTACAGTCTGCTTAAAAGCATTTTTGCAAAATGGTCTAGGGAACTGCCTGCTCACAGAAAATGACTTTTGACCATATGTAGAAATAGTCTAACAGTGATAAATTCAAATTAACACTACAAAAATATGATTCCTCGCCTATCAGATCTGCAAAATAACCCAGAAATTTGAGTCAGTATTCTGCCCTAGTTATTTTCTATTGCTGTGATAAAAACACCACAACCAAAAACAATTTGGAGAATAAAGGCTTTATCTGCCTCCTATGTCCCAACCATAGGTCACTGTTGAGGGAAGCCAAGGCAGGAACCTGGAGGCAAGAACTAAAGCAGAGACTATGGAGGAGCGCTGCTTACCAGCTTGATGGAAAAGTGGCCAGCTCAGCTTGCTGCCCCATACTACTCAGGCCCACCTACCCAGAGGCAGCCACACCCACAATGGGTTGGGCCCTCCCACCTCAATCATTAACCAAGAACATGCCCTGCAGACTTGCTCACAGCAATCTGATGGAAGCATTGAGAGTCTTCTTCCTAGATGACTCTAGCTTATGTCAAGTTATTAAAAAAGTTAACTAACCAGGACAATGAGGTTCTAAATAAACCAGCACTTTTATATTCCAGAGGGAGTGCTAAATGGTACCATCCCTCAGAGAAGATTTAGCGCATCTAGTAGAGTCACATAAGCTTTATTTTGTCATAACAGATGGGAAGGCAGATACTAGAGACAAAAAACGGGGGTCATGTCATAAGAATGCAGAAGTCAACGTGAATGGGTTACTGCTGGCCAGGTAGGGGACACACTGAGGATCAGTAAGAACCACAAATTCAGGGACTGAAGCATATCAAATAAGTCCATGAATTTATAATGATACAAAAAAATCATTGGTTGATAAAATAGAGAAATTAGCAAAGAAAGGAAAATGGCAAATCTGACATGTGGACTCTATTAGAACCATTTTCCAGTCCTTTACCAAGATAGAAGCAATGATAACAATTAGAGATCACACAGGTAGGGGAAATAGCTACATTACCAGGACTATGATTTATATTTAAGAATGATATATACATATATATATATATCATGCAGTAAGACATTAACTGATAATAGTATGAGATATTAAAGATTAAAAACATACTTATAACACTAGCTATCCTGAAATTTCTGGTCATGATGAAGTAACAATGACTGGACTCTAACTCTAGACATTTGACAGGAAGCAGTATGGGACAGTGAGCCTTTAAATAATGGAAATGAATGGAGTGGGCCCTGTAGTTACCAAGCTTCTTGTTCAAGGTTTCTGGACTGCTGGATATGGAGGAAATCCCAAAGAGAAGCTGGCCCGCATCTTCAACTTCAGTAGCAGAGTTGAGAATTCATAGGGACCACACTAGCTAGAATTCACAGGGTAAATTAACACAGATTTCTCCTTCAGCCCTTTCTTTAAATGTTTCTGGTTTTATGTTCATTTTGTTGATATCTGTTTCTTAGTATAAGTGTGAATGCATTATAAACAGAAAAATACAGACATTTCACTATTTTTTTCTGGCAAGGATGAATAATTAAAATCTTGAAGATGGTCATTTTGGCTGATAAAGACTAGTTAGAATGTTTTGAATAGAGACAGATATTTAGTTTTTCACTTGGCTCCGAGACAATTGCTTGTGAAGTAGCAGGGACCTGGGATGAGATCAAACTGTTGAGTATGAGCTTTCCAAATGTGACATGATTCAAGAGCCATCTATACATTGTGTGACTCTGGAGGCTAGATTCACACCAAAAGCGTGCCACAGCTGGGTAATTGTCTTTAAACTTTTGAACCAGCCATAGTGCCTAAGAGCTTAGAAATGAGTGAGTACACATTTTATGGATTTGGAAACTGAGACCCAGTGAAGCGAATTTATTTGTCTAGAATCATTCAGCTACTTGGCTGGTAGTTGTCAGGCACCTGTGTTACTTTCTAGTCTGTGAAGACACTAACATGCATTTCCAGTAGCAAGATTGCTCTTAGTTGGGACATCCTCAAGGTGCCCTGTCCACTGCACAGAATCTTTGTCGCTGTATGACAGCACACACCACAGCACCAGCCAAGGCTATGGTTTCTTCAACTTTGAATATGCTTAAAGCAAGCTAATGCTGCTCTTTATTTTCATAGATAAGGACATTTACTTGGTCTTGAAGAATTAAATAAGCATGATATTTGAATAGGAAAGATAAAACTCCGACAAACACTTCTAGAAAGAACTGTTGATTTGTCTATGACTTCGGCATTTCTCACGTGAGAAACATTTGAAATCCCCATGTAATCAGCAGAAGAGCCATGGAACCTTCCATTTCTCCATGAGTACAGTTGAGCTGACCTGTTACCACAAGGGGGACCTTTCCAGTCCTCTGCTTCATAAACTTGATGAGCCTGTTTCTTTGCCAAATTCCCCATGAACGCTTCCGAGTCTTGATCTTGCTACATGTTTCTCATCCACTTTGAACTTATTTCCTACAGAGTAGCATTAGTCTCCTGCTTAAAATAGGAATTTCTGAGTCACTCATCTGATTCTAAAATGTTTATTAGGTGTTAGTGTTTGGAATGAAACTTTGAGGTAGAAGCCCAAGGCCATTCATCCTTTATCATGCTCAATCCTAAGATGGACAGTAAAGGGTTATGGGGATGTGCATAGCGGTAGGGTAGGAATGTGGGTAGGGATGGGAAATGAGGAAAGGAGGGAGGACGCAGAGACAGAGAGAGACAGAGACAGAGGCAGAGAGACAGAGAGAGACAGAGAGATCCTAGACTATCCCCACTGCAGAATCCCAGTTTCTGACAACATAAGAAGGCGCCTGGGGGCACCTGTATTTGAGACGTGAACTTGATTGTTTCAAGTAACTAATCTGAAGGAATGATGTCTGGAAGAGAAAGATAGATAAAGAGTTTCAAAGAATTCTGGCATGAACTTCAGTCCTCATGGAGACAAAAATCAGACAAACGATACCAGAATATGCTTAAAGTCCACCAATTTATGCCAAATAAAAGGTTTCGAAGTCATCAGTGTGGGAGAGTGGACTACACACACACACACACACACATACACAAAAAAAAACACACAGAAAAATGACAACAAAAGCAAAAATTTAAAAAAAAAAGAAGAGAAAAGGAAACAAAAGATGAAAAGATAAAACACTGAGGCTCCCAGCCCCCAGTAGGAAAGCTTCTTTCTGCACTGGTCCATGGTTAATACAAAGTCAAGAGCTCAGTGACTGCAGAATTCTAGCCACAAATGGAGATCTGCATCACTGCATCCCCCCACTGTCCCTACACCCCAGGCTCAGAGAACATCAAGGAAGAGGTGATGAACAGTTGAGTCAGAGGTAGCAAAGGACTGCTGAGAACCTGTGTCTTCTGGACACGGCAGAATTGATGCGCTCAGCAACTCACAGCAGCTGTGGTTTCCTGTACAAGACCGAATTCACCTTTATTTTACTTAATAGCAACCCTCCCTCCCCCAAGGATGGCAATGTTAGCAATTCAGATACACCAAAGAAGACTCACAAAGCACTTCCTTTATGCATCAGTTTACATCCTCACAAGAGCTGGGTACCATCTGGTGGCCAGGTAGAAGCATTTGCACCTTGCAAAGGCTCATATGTGACTAGGTAAGGTTCATAGGGTTGAAATCCTCAGCAGTGGGTGTCTTCTCAATGTCCATCAAGCCCATAGATAATGAGATGGTCCAGCAGGATGACAGACAGTGGTCTACTACCTCGTCACTACGGACGGACTAGTGGAGACTTGTAAAAGAATAATGTTCATAACCAACAAATCAGAGGCCACCACTTCCCATGTACAGTCACATAAGAGAATCTTTACGTACCTCCCAGCTGAGAGACAGTCACAAGGACAAGACAGAGGACAAGAAGAGAGTCATGAGCACTTGGGGGCCACACTCATGTCTCTTTATCATCAACCACTGTAAGTGAAGCTCCAGCCTGGACTGGGAAGAGTAGGGGGAGAGATTGGTTTTTCTCAACAACCTAGTAGGCATGGAGAGACGTGAGATCAAAATGAGGCACTGTAAAGACGGCTCCACTCAGCTGACAACAGTTATTTGTGCAGCAAGGCAGGTCCATGTTTATACCGCAATCAGTCAATACGCCTCAATCAAAATGCTTTAGAAAAGGAAAGAACCATTGGAAAATCAACAGTGTTCAAAAGAAAATGCAATCCGTGAGTATGCTTTATTTTGATCAAATGTAATTTCCTCAATGAAGAGCTACTCATGAGCTTTTATGCACCAAATAACATACAATGAAGATTTGCAAAAGATATGTTGAAGGATTACAAGAAGAAAATTTATAACGCTGTAAATGTAAGAGCCTTTAACACATGCTCAGGCAATTAAAGCTTGGTGAGGAATGTGCGTACTCACAGCCATGCAGCAGAGCCTAGCCTGGAATCCAGCTAGAATCTGTTGACCGCTGGTACACGAAACAAGTTCACTCTGTACTGGTTTTTATATTAGCCCCCAGAGTCCTTGAGCCAAACTCTAAGTTAGAGAAAGTGAGTTTCTTAAGCTGCCATGACTTCCCCACTACTAGGGACTGAAATGTCCAAAATCATGAGGCGAAACAAGCCCCGCCTCTCCT